AGCGGCCACTGCACTCCAGTCTGGGCGACAGTGAGACTCCAACTCAAAAAAAAAAAAATGAACCCTATAGTTAAGATAAGATTATGTGCACATAACTACTTACCTACATGCTGAAGTCAGATTCATATTAAAGTACTAAAAGATAAAAAGACTTTTTGAAGCTTAAATAACGCTTCAATGCCTAGCTATCAACCCAATGCACACCTAACCCACAGTCAATCTGTGAAAGAACTCATGGACCGAGGTATGTTTAGTGCACTTCAACAGTCACACCCCTCAGGAACCTCCTCTGCCCGAAAACCATGTTATATTTTTAATAAAACAGTCACTAACTCTGAAGGATTTGAATTCTGTGAAGTGACAGGAGACAGACACACAAAGTAATTTCAGAAACACAGTCAAGGGTCTGGGTACAGCGGCTCACACTTCTATAATCCTAGTACTTTGGGAAGCCAAGGTGGAAGGCTCACTTGAGCCTCGGTATTTGAGACAAGCCTGGGCTCATAGGGACCCTCTAGCTCTTCAAAAAGGCATTAAAATTATTAGCCAGCATGATGGTACACAGTCGTAGTTCTAGCTACTCGAGAGGCTAAGGCCCAGAAGTTAGAGGATGCAGTAAGCTGGGATCCCACCACTGTGCTCTAGCTGGTGCAACAGGGCAAGATCCTTTCTCCAAAAAAATGAAAAGAAAGAACATATACAGTGGAGACAGACTCATAAACATGGTATGATTCCACAGCAGTATGGCAAGGAAACAGTCTTTTGATCAGCCTCAGAAAAGAGTGGGGGAAGGGTCAGGGACAGAATCTAGGATTAAGAGATATAATTAGAGAAATTAAGGGATTTACCTTAATGGCCTCTACTTGTTGGCAAATCATTTTCAGTAAAGAATTCTGATCTTCTGCCCATCGAGGTGGTGTTTTGGGAGAATACTTTAAAAAAATGCAACAAAATCAGTATTTAAGACACTTCAAATAGAAACATTCTACAAAGGAATGGTTTATATCTTTCCTATTTACCTTGTAGCTTTTACTTGGTGATAGTGAATATTTGGTGGGAGACGGTGTAGAATGTTTTATGTCTGAATCTGCATTTCGCAAAGAACCATTTTTATAAAGAGAACCTCCATCAGTATAATCTTCAAGTTCCTGAATGACTGAATTAAACATCTCTTTTACAGACTCCAGGGGCACAGGCAACTAAAAACAAAGAGCATTAATTAGGGGTTTTAGTTTGCAAAAGTTCCCAAAGAACTTTAAAACAAATATAAATATGTTATGATAATAATTTATATTTTTCTCACATTAACAAGCACTTTATACTTTAAATTACAAGCAAGTGAAAGTGTCATATAATCTAATGTTTTCTGACTCTAAAGTCGATGCTGTTTCTATTACTTCTGTTAGCCCTGATAATGGCAGAGGAATCTTAACTTGGAAAGTTTTTCCAAGTGAACAAAACAAGTGACTGCTGTTTTCTATCCTATTTTGAATGGTGAGAGAAATACAGACACTAGAATACACCAGACAGCATAAATCCTAATCAAAGACCAGCAACACAAATTAATCCACAAAATACACAAAAGAAAGGCTGACCATAATTTAACACCAATATGACAGTCTCAAACAGCTGACAGCTGGAAAACAAGACAGTCCACAGCAGATGAGGAAGGTAAAAAGAAATACTCTGAAGTTGTCAAGCAACAGCTTTCAATTTCAACAAAATTCATTGAAAACTAGTCCTGAGGATATATTTGTTTTGATTACATTGCCAAGATAACAAAATATGCCATACCTTATAAATATTTTCTAGCTAGGCTCAGCGGCTCAGCCTGTAATCCCGTGCTTTGGGAGGCTGAGGTGAGTGAACTGCCTGAGCCCGAGGGTTCAAGACCTGCCTGGACAACTTGGTAAGACCTCATCTCCACAATAAATCAAAAATTAGCCGGGCGCGGTAACGCACACCTGTAGTTCCAGCTATTTGGAAGGCTGAGGCGGAAGATTCGCTGGAGCCCAGCAGGTGGAGGCTGCGGTGGCCGGGAATGGCCACTGCACTCCAGTCTAGGTGACAGAGTGAGACTCCAACTCAAAAAAAAAAAAAAAAAAATTCTAATTCCCCAAGAAGTAACTTTGTAAGAGTATATACCTAGATTCCCAAGTTTTACCCAAAAAACCCACACCAAACCTAAGACAAGGCAAACTGAATTAAGCATTTACTTACATACCTCCCCACTTATGTTCATTAATAACAAGGTATTTCTGAGTGTATTTGACATTATCAAAATAGAAAACCAACACAAAAACACTAACCATTCAGTCCTCAATAAGAAGAAAGTACATACAATAACCTGGAACTTACTTTCTTCACCACTGAAAGGTCTGAATCACAGTCATCTAAAATCTTTATTAGGTAGTCCCTGGTCTTTCTCAGATAATTTTTACATTCCTCTTGTTCTTCAGGAGAAAGGGCATCATTTTCAATGTCTTCTGCCTTCCTGTGAAAAATCTATATGAAGAGTATTTTTATGAAACAATGAGGTTTTGAAAACAAAAAACTTTTAATTCAAATATCATATCTACTTACCAGTGCAAGATTCCAGTAAGAAACAACGTTTTTTATAGATTCAAAAGCAGTCATAGCATCTTCTAAATTCCCATTAACTGCATCCAATAAAGCAAAAGTTATGTGGGCATCTTCTTCATATTCACCAATTTCAGATGCCTAAAGACATTTAGTAGTTTTGAGTCAAATTGTTTCTATTCAGAGTATCAACCCCAAATGATTCTCCAAAGACTTTATATGATCTAAAGAGATTAACATCTTATTACTCTTTTCTGTCATATTTTGCGACTAGTGGATTGGAAAATAAGACTACCGTTAAATAACAAGGCAAATAATTTAAGCAGTTTATATCTCCATTTCCTTTTTTAGAAACTGGAAACCCACATCACCAGCTAACCCGCAAAGGGACTGAGTCTTTGTTACCTGAATGTCTACACTATGAAAATGCTTAAACAGAGGATCAACAGGCTCAGGAATACTGCTCTTCTTTTTTATTATCTTCAACAATGGTAAAACTTTCTTCCAATAATGAACACTTCTGCTTATGTATTCACGTTGATCATAAAAAGAATTAAGATCGCTGCCCTAAAACAGAAGCATAGAATCTTAAGGAGCATATATAACTGGATGTGAAAGTTCAATGACAAATGGTTAAAATTCCAAGTCAAAACCAAATGGAGACTCTACAGTCATTTGCTCAACTTCCCACTGTAATAACTAACCACCTTATAACCAGTGATCATTCTAGACTCAATTTTTAAACACTTTCAGTGAATTATCTAACGAAGCAGTCCAATCTGGTTTTTTTTTTTGAGTTGGAGTCTCACTCTGTCGCCCAGGCTGGAGTGCAGTGGCACGCTCACGGCAACCGCAGCCTCGATCTGCTGGGCTCCGGCGATCCTTCCGCCTCAGCCTTCCAAGTAGCTGGAACTTCAGACATGTGCCACCACGCCTGGCCAATTTTTTGACTTACTGTAGAGATGAGGTCTCACCAAGTTGCCCAGGCTGTTCTCGAACCCCTGGGCTCAGGCAATCCTCTCACCTCGGCCTCCAAAAGTGCTGGAATTACTGGCTTGAGCCACCGCACCCAGCTCCAATCTATTTCAAGAGTTGCCATTTTTAGACAATCAAAATCTGCCTCTTGGGTCAGTCTGGTCAAAGGGCTAACTACCTATACCTAATCCTGCCACAGAATAGACCTCAAATATTTAGAAATATCTATTATGCCCTTTGTGCTACTTAATATTTTAAAAAATTGTAAGGCTGAACAGTTATCACACCTTAATTATTAAATAGTAACAATAATAACTAATACTTATATAACATTCACCGTGTTCTGGGCACGGGTCTTCTAGGTGCTTATTTTTAACTATATTAATTATTTTATGGCAAGACTATAAAACACGTTTCACCTGACATAGTACGAACAAGCTGCTATTGTTTCCAAAACTAAAGAGTTTTCTTCAAAAAGTTCATGAGTTTTAAAACTTCAGGTATCGCTCTTTAAAAATGTCTGACTTTAATAAACTCACCGTCTTCTGAAGGCATTTTGCCCAATGTACAAGCAGGGAGGGTTGAAGCCCATGTTTTTCCTGGGCCCTTAGTGTGTTTATTTCATGCTGAACTAGAAGTCGCAATTTTGCTGAGGTTCCAGGTCTAAAAAAAAGTTCCACATAATAGCTTTATAAATACACAGTTCAACATTTACATGTATGTTAACAATTACATGACAAATTAAATACTCACAAGAGAATCAAATTCCTGGCAAAACCTGGGCAATTAGTCAATAAATATTTCTGTTTTACTACTTACATTGCCTTTCTGTGAATTAGATTACAGACTGCATCCCACCAAGACTTCTGTCTTTCTGTACAAAGCTGTTTACACACAGGAAGTGGCAAGCATAGTGGCTCATAAAAGTTGTAGTGAGAATTACACTTCTCCTTTAACTGTAAGTGGCTGGTATATATTACTCCAAGTAGAAATACCTATTTATTAAAGAAATATTAATTTAAGTTAGAAAAAAACTACACAAAAGTCAAAATATTTAATTTGCTAAAAATCTTTGCTTACTTCAAGATCTAAAATACATATTGACTCAGGTGCGTTTGTTTCAAGCCTTGAGGTTTCCTGGGGCAAGTGATGAAAAAGCTGTTTTAGCCATTTCCGAATTGCAGGTAAGGAAGGCAATGAATTCCACTGCAAGCCAAGCCAGGTAAGATGCTGAAGACTACCATTATGTGCTCGAATGGCACCTGAAATTTAAAAAAAGAAAATTGTCTTAAGGTTTTAGAGATTTGCTTTGTATACATTAAATGTATCTGAATCATAGAACTGCTTTTCTATGAGAGAGCTGGAGGAAAGTCTATGAGAAGCAAAGTCTCGTGTTCTTATTAAATGCACTGACACTTCTTATCTAGAAATTTTAATAGAAACAGCTGTGATGGAGGATTTTTTTTCAAGTCCATCTAAGAAAATGAGATTCACTAGAACTCAAACAAAATCTACTGAAGGAGGCCAAATAAAGAAAGCCCAACCTCATAAGTCCTAAAACGATAAATTTTCCTCTCAATAAAGAGTCCTTAAAACAATGAAATACCACTATATTAATCCATTAGTATAGTAAAGAAATCTTTTTATCCTACAAAAAAGTCATTATCTCTGGGCATAGTGGCTCATGCCTGTAATCCCAGTACTTTGGGAAGTGGAGATGAGAGGATTGCCTGAGTCCTTGGTGCAGAGACCATCCTGGACAACATGGCAAGACCTCATCTCTACAATAAATCCAAAAATTAGCCAGGTGTGGTGGCACATGCCTATGGTTCAAGCTACTCTGAAAGCTGAAACAAGCCAGGCTCAGTGGCTCAGCCTGTAATTCCAGTGCTTTGGGAGGCTGAGGTGAGTGGATTGCCTGAGCCCGGGGGGTTGGAGACCCACCTGGGCAACTTGGCGAGACCTCATCTCTACAATCAATCAAAAAATTAGCTGGGTGTGGTAGCGCGTGCCTGTAATTCCAGCTACTTGGAAGGCTGAGGCGGAAGGATCACCGGAGCCCAGCAGGTCGAGGCTGCAGTGGTCGGGAGTGGCCACTGCACTCCAGTCTGGGTGACAGGGTGAGACTCCAACTCAATAAAAAAAAAAAAGAAAGCTGAAACAGAAGGATCACCTGAGCCCAGCAGGTTGAATCTGTGGTGGTTGTGAGCACACCACTGCAGTCCAGCCTGGGTAACAGAATGAGACTCCAGCTCAAAAAAAAAGTCACTACTGAAAAGGTAACAGGTTTCTAAAAGCCTCAGGTATGACCTTTCTGGCATTTTGGCAATTTGCAAAAGACATAAAGATGTTCATTTCCTTTATAGCAATAATTCTGTTTTTAGGAATCTTGACCACATTCGGTGGCTCATGCCCGTCATTACAGAACTTTGGGAGGCCAAGGTGGGAAGATTACTTGAGCCTAGGAGTTCCAGACCAACCTGGGCAACATAGCAAGACAAGAAAAATAAAAAATAAAAAATTAGTCAGGTGTGGTGGCACATGCCTATAGTCACAGTTAGTTACTCAGGAGACTGAGGCAGAAGGATCACCTAAGAAGCCCGGGATGTTGATGCTACGGTGAGCCATGATAGTGCCACTGTATTCCAGTCTGGCAACAGGGTGAGACTGTGAGAATCTGAGTTGTTTTTTTGTTTTTTTTTTTTTAAAGGAATCTCGGCTCACCTCTGCAATCCCAGCACTTTGGGAGGTAGAAGAGAGGACTTCCGGAGCCCAGGGGTTCGAGACCAGCCTGGGCAACTTGGCAAGATCTTGTCTCTAAAATAAACTTTTAAAAATTAGCTGGCAGATTGCCTGAGACCGCGAGTTCAAGACCCGCCTGGTCAGCGAGACCTCATCTCTACAATAAACCAAAAAATCAGCCAGGCGTGGTAGCACATGCCTGTAATTCTGGCTACTCGTAAGGCTGAGGCGGAAGGATTGCCTGAGCCCAGCAGGTCGAGGCTGCGGTGGCCAGGAGCAGCCACTGCACTCCAGTCTGGGCGACAGAGCGAGACTCCAACTCAAAAATTAACTGGCGAGCGCCAGTCGTTACAGGTACTTGGAAGGTTGAGGCGGAAAGATGGCCTGAGCCCAGCAGGTCGAGCCTGCAGGTGGCCATAAGCGTGCCACTGCCTGGGCAACACAGTGAGACTCCAACTCCAACTCCAAAAAAAAAAAAAAAAGGAATCTCTATGGACAGCATCTGAAATGTAGACATCTTATATTACAGAGTTCATCACAGTATTTTTTTTCTCACCACTATACTAAAGAAGAAGTATTATTTTTAACAGTGAAAAAAAATGAAAACAACTTGGATGCCCAACAATAAAGTAGGAAGCAAATTATGACTAGTTCATAAAAAAGATTATATTGTCATTAAAAGTGAATTTACAGCATTTTAAAACAGATGTTATGGGAGAGAATATATGAACGAAGCGAGACAAACCGTATATACAGTAGAAACTACTATTTAGAAGAAAATATATGCCACCTCCACACAAAAAGAAAAAAAGGAGGAAAAAACCTGAAAGGAATATAGCAAAGTATTAAGTCATTATTTCTGGGTAATAAGTTTAGGGATTTTGTTAATATAAAAGGATTAAGATACAGAATGTTTCCTTTGAAACATGTAACTTACCAAAGAAAAAGGGAAAAAAAGAAGAAACATATAACTCACCAATATCATATCTAGCCAAATCATCAGGCTCTGGTGCTTGTACATCAGTGTTTCCAATATCATCGCTACCAAGAAAAGAGCTATCCTTAGGTGACTGACTAGAAAACAGAGCATCATATAAAGCAGATTGCCCACTTTCATTGGCTAAAGACTCCACAACCTCTTCTAAAAAATCTTGCTTTCCATGACTTAAGTTTAGCAACATGTGCCCTGAAAAACAAATTATTTCCATCATTTAAAACATACAGATTTGCTCACATCATTTCATTTGTACACCCTAAGGGGAAATAACATATGATTTCCTCAAAACTGACCCCCAACGCAAAAACTACTGCTGGACAATTAAAAGGGTGCTTATGTAGAAAATGAAGAGAGTACAGGTTCAACAGCATTGGTGTTTACATAATAGAGTAAAAGGGAAGACAAAAAGACAGGAATGTGTATGAAAAAATGCCAAGACTATTTGCATTTTAGATGAAAAAGTTTGGATGTAAGTATCCACAGGACAGCAGGACCAAGCTTTCTGATCTGATACACTGATTTCTAAACACAGGTAATAAGAATCTTCTTTAAACTTTTTTAAAAAATTTATTTCCAGGCACCACTCCCACAATTTTTTTCCATAGGTTTGAGATGAGGAATCTATTCTAAAAACACTACTTGGATAAAGAATATGCTAAAACGTGGATAAATTTAAAGACTGCTAAATGAGTCAGGCATGATGCACACACCTGTAGTCTCAGCTACTTGGAAGTCTAAAGTAAAAGGATCATCTGAGTGAGTCCAGCAGGTCAAGGCTGCGGTAGCCGTAAGCATGCCACTGTACTCCAGCCTGGGCCACAAAGTGAGACTGTGACTCAAAAAAAGAAAAAAATGGCTGGGCTCAGTGGTTCAGCCTGTAATCCCAGCACTTTGGGAGGCCAAGGCGAGTGGACTGCCTGAGTCTGTGGGTTCAAGACCCAGCCAGGCAACTTGGCAAGACCTCGTCTCTACAATAAATAAAAAATCAGCCGGGTGTGGTAGCGCGCACCTGTAGTTCCAGCTACTTGGAAGGCTGAAGCGAAAGGATCACCGGAGCCCAGCAGGTCAAGGCTGTGGTGGCTGGGAGAGTACCAGTGCACTCGTCTGGGCTCAAAAACAAACAAAAAAACCCTACAAAAACCTGTTAAATGAAAGAAGCCAGTCACAAAAGACCATGTATTGGTTGCCTACAACTGAGAGGTTCGGGAAAAACAGAGGGTGACTAATAGTGGGTATAGAATCTCCTGATGGAGTGAAAATATTCTAAATTTGACTGTGGTGACTGTTGTACAACTCTGAGAACATACCAAAAGCCACTGAACCGTAGCCTTTATAAGGGTGAACTGAGCCAGGCTCAGTGGCTCAGCCTGTAATCCTGCGCCTTTGGGAGGCTGAGGTGAGTGGATTGCCTAAGCCCGTGGGTTTGAGACCCGCCCAGGCAGTGAGACCTCATCTCTACAATAAATCAAAAATCAGCCGGGCGTGGTAGCACGCGTCTGTAATTCCGGCTACTCGGAAGGCTGAGGTGGAAGGATCGCCAGAGTCCAGCAGGTCGAGGCTGCGGTGGCCGGGAGCGGCCACTGCACTCCAGTCTGGGCGATGTAGTGAAACTCCAACTCAAAAAAAAAAAAAAAAACAAGAAACACAGTTGATTTTATGAACTGTAATATCCTGCAAAGGCACCAATGATGGCCCTGCCAAGGTAAAAGGAAAACAGAAAGGAAAAAAAAAAAGTGGAAAATCACTCTAAAGCTGAAAGTCTAATTTTCTTTTCTTTTTCGTTTTAGTTGGAGTCTCACTCACTCTGTTGCCCATACTGGAGTGCAGTGGTTGCTCCCGGCCACCGCAGCCTTGACCTGCTGGGCTCCAGCGATCCTTCTGCTCAGCCTTCCAGGTAGCTGGAACTACAGGCGCGCACTACCACGCCCAGCTAATTTTTTTTTTTTTTCTTGTAAAGATGAGGTCTCTCCAAGTTGCCCAGGCAGGTCTCGAACCCGCGGGCTCTGGCAATCCACTCACCTCAGCCTCCCAAAGTGCAGGATTACAGGCTAAGCCACTGAGCCCGGCTGAAACTCTAATTTTCATCAAAAAAATAAAAAGTAGACTGCAGAAAAGAAGAGCAAGGTGATCTGTGACCAACTGCATAACTGTAGACCAAAGCTTACAGCAAGCTTTGATTTAATACTACTTCTTCCTTTTTTTTTTTTTTTTGAGTTGGAGTTTCACTCTGTCGCTCAGACTGGAGTGCAGTGGCCCGCTCC